TAAGGAATTTTCTTCTTTTTTCTGCCGGGCTTTGGCTCAGTGGTGGCATTCTGCTCACATAATCAAGGATGAGCAGTGCCCATCTACCCAATCTACTACTCGCTCCCACAGGAAAAAAATGACTTGAAACAGGAAAACCTGCATGAATACTAATTTGCCTACTTGGCTTTAACAGCTTTTGCAAGCCAATCTCATAGGAATTTCTAGAATATGATGCCTTTCTATCGTTCCATATTAATTACCCCAGCTGAAAACTAAAAGCAGGGACAGGAAGAGATGGGGATGGAGACACAGAGTGACAGAAGAAGAGTATTTGTCAGAGAGAAAGAGAGCCTCAATCTTGGGAATAACACTAAGCAGGGACTCTGCTCTTCATCTTAAATGTGGTTAATTATAATGTGATCTTAAGCATCTCAAGCAGGATTGTTGCATTCTAGATGTGGAGTTTTCTGACCAGACTCTCAGCTCAGTGTGACCGGGCCAGCCTTAAGACCACATCAAATGGACTGTAGGTGATATCCGATAAGCACACATGGGTTATGTCCAACTCATTGTGCAATACTAAACTCATTCTCTCTTATCCTGGTGCGAATCATGTGTGTAAAATCATATAAATCGGGGTACCACATGTGAAGAATGCATCCAATGTATAAAGACCTAATCTATAAAGACTAATCTTATCATGTCCCGTGTATTCAATAATAAATGCTCAGAATGACTAAAATGTTGAAAATTCGACTTATTTTAGACAAACCAAAGCAAAAGTGTGATTCTTTTCATCATATCAGGGACGAAAATCTAACAGTCATTGTAGAAGGAGCTCAAGGTTGCATCCTGGTGCATGCAGAAGTGACTGCGATGGCTTTTGTGGTACAACGCCGGAAGACGGCAACGTATAGATCAAAGCTAAACGAAAACGTGGCGTAAAGCTGTGAAAACGTGGCGTCAAGCCGTGCACGGGAACAGCTCTGCGCTTTTAGGCGCGTTCCCCTGAAATCTTTCCAAAAGCACGATCAAAACGAGGGTCTCGGAGGTCCATGCAAGACAGATTTTCACTTGGCCCTTTGTGTCAGGAAAAGCTCACCTGGCCCTTGGAGTGGGAGCAAAGGGGAGTGAACCTTTGCTGCCCTGACTATGGAGACAGCCTTCCTCTGTAACACGCTCTCATTCACAGACATCATTCATGTGCAAATCAACCTTGAACCTATTGTTCAATGTCTGCGCTTTCAGATACGCGCTGAATCAAGTGATAAATGTAAAAGAGAGGCTGCAGATATATTTCATATTGCACAAAAGGTGGAAAACTAACTTGACGCTGCTCGCTGGACCAGCAGCCTGCATCAGTTTCTGAAACAAAGATGGACACAAGGTTTCTGGATTCTGCTCTCCTCTGACACCTTGCACTTACACATCTTCAAAATGGCTTCGGCAGCTTCAGTTTTTGATTAATAATCAGTCGAACTTTGATTTAACTTCAAGATTACACACCGTGGGACATGGAAATTTTGGTCTTTTGGCTGTTAGTTTTCATGCCTGAGTCGGCCCGTGTTATGTTGCAGCACTGTGTTCTCAGGGTTCTGTTTAGGTGGTTCTCTTTGTAGGCCAACATTCTGGGGACGTGTAGCCGGTTTCCTGAAGCTGTCTACGTTCATGGTGCTGAACTGGTCCTCAGCCGATGCCCAGACTGTAAAGAGCTGTCCTCAGTGCTGAAACATGCCACTGTAACCTGCAATCTGCGTTGTTTTCTGATTGCCCATTGTGATGGTTTCCTTTTTTTTTTTAAACTCAGAGACTGTTTTCTAACATTTTAAAACCAAAGAATTTAATAAAAAATATCAAAAGTCTTTAACAAAATGTACAAAGTATTTCAATCAATATTTTCTGCAAATTAAGAAAGAAAAAAAAGTTGTGGTCTTCAGAAATAATCTAAAACTGTCCTAACGCAGATGCGTAGAGGAATACATTTGAATTATAATACCATGATTAATGAATCTTGGAGGCCTCGCCGTTGTTGAGTGAGCAATTACAGACTTCCAATTGTTTATTAAAAATATCAAAACTAATACAGAATGCATGTTTAACCATTTTAAAAGGCAAAGAAATGCACAACAGGACGCAGGAGTTATACAAGACGCTTTTTGGTTTTGCACACCTGCTGTAACGTCCCTGGTGGTAAATAGAGCGGATGAATGTGGGTATTCATCATCAAACAGATAAGTTTGCGTCTGTCCTCTGTCTACAGAACTTTTGCCATCACCTCAGGTGGTTTTTATTTGTTGAAGGTTTGCTTAAAATGGAAGAGGAGAAGAGATTTTGCTCCAAATAGGATGAAGTGTACAGAGGCAACAAAGAATGAAGAAGCTCAGAAGGAATGCTCAGACAATAGCTCAACAACTTGGACTATTTTTCTTAAATCGTTTCCATTCAGAGTAGCTTCTTGTCCACTATAACTTATGTGGAGGACCAGCAAAAGCATAATTAACCTTCATTTGAAGTATCTCCATATAGTTTTTTTTAGACTTGAGTATAGGAAAAAATTCCATTTATCTTTTGCCTTTTCAGTCTTTGCATACATCTAAAAATCTCAGGCATGCATTGTGCAGCTGCTGGCTGGTCAGATTGAGGCATAGAAACTTTGGTTCACACTGAACAATGTTTTAAAATTTTTTCAAATCTAAGAGGCATCATGACTCGCCAAACCGGAGGAACTTCTGAAGGCATTGACTACCTGATCAGACTGCCATCCTAATTTCACAATGCTGAAATGACCCTAAAAGCAGATAACGCATGCTTATTCAAGTTGTTCCAGTGTTGCTAAATCAAGCAAAACATGGAATAGGTGAAGAATAATATCACTAAAAGTTGTTTGCAAAATCAGACTTAAAAAAAAGCTTTTCTTCGTTACTGGAACCAAATAGCTTTTAAATTCAAATAAAATGCGGTATTCGAGATCGGGAAGTAACAACTTGAAACAATTAACGAGAGCCTTGAAGGTGTAGTTTGATTAAGCCTTGGAAAGAAAATAAACTGTTTTCATTTCCCCATTCAAGGACAAAATCACAGATTAAAGACAGAGTTTATCCAAAGACAATTGATCAGTGGGAGAGATTGTTTAACTTCATGTAATGTTGCCTGAGCTCTTTGAAAAAGCCCAGGCTTGTGTAATCAAAAGCAAAGCCTTTGTCTCGGTAACACACATACCAAAGATGCTACTGGAGAGGCCACATCAGAATGAATGAATATTTAATTGAGGCCCATTGAGGCAGAAGATCAAAATGACCTTGTTTTAAATGAGTATGCACTGCAAACTTTGGGTGAGGCAGGAGACAACGGAGCCCTACCACAGCAGAAGCCATTTTGCAATTCTGCTCAACAATCAAACATGGAGATCCACAGACGGTCTCTCTGACAATGGACCATAGTGTGACCACAAGGTGTGTTGTGCTTTGAATAATGAACTCAAGTGCAATCACAGGACTGCACATCATTCCATTTCTGCGCATTTTTCTCTGAGCAGTTCAGGTCAGCGATAGGGATGAAACTGAAAGAACTGAGAGCTGAGTGATAGCTAAACTAATTTGTTTTCCCTTGATACGAGTGAAATGTGGGTTGCTTCTACACACAATGTTTCTGTACATCTCACTAAACCATTCAGAAGTTCTACTTAGGTTGTGTGGCTGTGATGATTGTGAGTTCTAAAAAAGAAATGCGCTCATAGTCTCTCAGCCCCTTTAATTCCACAATAGGGGAGTCTTTAGTCTTGATCCAAGACCTTTTCAATTGCTATAAAAAACCTTAATCTTCTTATTTCAAACGGGCACTGTATGCCTACACCCACGCATCTCATTCAGCTGGTTGTATTATAATACAACATGCCCACTTTAGCGTGTGTAGCAGTCATCTTTACACATGCAGAGACTGGATCCATCACGTGTTCACTTGTCGAAGTTTGTTTGGTGCGTAAAATGCATTCCAAAACGTCTAATCAAAATTTTAACACGTGAAATAAAAAAACTGCAACCAGTTGGGCCCACAACACCTCCAGGAGGCCAGACTGTGATCACTGTTGTCCCAGAGTCACTTCCCTAATGCCAGCCATTACTGCCCCCTCACACCACAACAACCATTTGCCACCTCCAAAAGCTGCGCTTTTGCAGCTGCACCGGTAAAATTAATGAGGGGGGGTGGGGGGGGCAGGAGGTGGAGGCTGGATGAAACACACTAGCAGATTCAGCCAACAAACTCATCCAAACAGCAGACAAAACGCCTAAATTCCGACCAAACTCAACTAAAGGCCTGGGAAAAATACTCAACCCTCCTAAAAGAAGATCTGCTACTAGTACTAAATAATCCTACAGTCAGGAACAATACCGACTAAATCAAGGCCACGCAGCACCAACTCACCTAAGATGGCTGCCTCGTTTCTAACTATATACACTTGCCCTTCCTGAATTTCTTCATTGTCTGTCAGCCCCAAGTGCAATCTCTACTGGCCTCTAGCTACCATAGCTTCTTTTATTCCAAATCTGGACCTCCTCTCTTCTCTTTGATGCCTTTTCAGCTCCAGCCTCCCCGACCTATTAGAACATTACACACAACCTCTGTATGCCATTCTTGGATTCCATTTACTTCCCCCAGGTTTGGTTTGGAACCACCTTCCAAACTACATCTTTACTCTCAGCTAACAGGAGCTCTAACCTAACCTTGGTACATTTAAACTCCTCTACTAAAGTAGAAACTGGGAGCTGGAAAATGCCTTTCCCACACAGTGCCACACTATGGAGGAAAACTAGCCACTTTCTTAACATGAGACCACAGCTTCTACTTTCCTGGAAACCCCCATTTATCTATTCTAACCAGGCCCTCGACAATGTCTTTCTGAAACTGATATTGATTTCCTCCACACACACAACCTGCTCTTTGTTGCTCAAGTCTCCCTGGTAACACTAACCTAAACTGGCTAACTGATTAAGGACATTATGTTATTACTTGATAATATGTCAGGAACGTTTTCTGTAAAATATCCTTTTGTTTAGGAATAAAATGGTGTAAAAGTGTGAGATATTTTTCTGCAACAATAACAAAAGGGTTTAGGTTTTTAGCTATTTATTTCCTTATCCTTCCAGATTCTTAAAACAATCTGTACAAAAAGGCTTAGCTGTGGAAAAAACTTAATTAAACCACACAAAAGGGTAGAGTAGAACTCAGTCAAGTGCCAGCATGACCGATCAAGTAATATTGTAAAGCAAATACAGTAATCGAGTCAGTTTCATTGTGAATTACATCTATTAACTGCAAGATAAAACCATACACTTCTTCTTGTAACAGTTTTAAAAATGAGCAGAATATCATCTAAATTGTCTCTCTGTCACAGACTCAGAGAAGTTCTTTATAATAAAAAAATGTTCCCGTTAGTACACATTAGTACAATAAAACTCCACTTCCACCATGAGCCATCTGTCACACACAAGTATCTGTTGACATGCTCCTTAACTGGATATTATGTTAGGGAGCCTTTTAGCAAACTCCAAATTACTCTGGCACAGTCCCTTTTTTGTGGTGGGTCAGGGCTGTCTGAAGCCATTATTGGTAATGAATGTGGAGTCCTACTTTAAAAGGTTCAGGCATGTAAAGTCACCTAAAGCTGACTAATGGAATCCTGCTGACACTTAATGCCAGGGGGCTTTTACCACATCCCAGTATGGCAGTTTGGGAAATTTGCACTGCAGAAATAATGAACTATAAATGTAAACCTTGGAATGTAACTTCCCACACAGCAGCTCGTGGTTATTAATAGACACAGGATGAATGATGGGCTGGAAAATCCTGCAACTGTGTTTTTTTTGTGGCATTTGTGCAATAACACAGAGGAAGGTAAACATGTCTGCATCTTTAAGGCCCCATCACCGATTCTTAATGAGGCATCTGTGAGAATAAGAGTAGCGCGTTTGTTTGAGGCTTTAAATATTCAGAGTTTGTTAGTGCAGCAACACTTTGTGCCCTGGGAGATGGGCCTCTTCAACAGGTTCACAGGTCATGCAGAAGCGTGCGGAGTGGCCATTGTGCTTTGTCATTTCACAGGTGACTCACATCACTACACTCGAGCATGCCGGAGACAGAGCACTCGGAGATGCTTGCAGCATTCAAAATGCATGATTTTCAGCCTAGTGCAAACAAATCGCTTTAAAAGATCAGTTTAATCTATTTCGAGCTGTTATTATGAGCTGGGAGAGTTATTCAGATAAAGAGACTGAAGCAGGGTTAACATCAGTGCATTGGACAACTCTTCACATACTTTACCCAGCGTGAGAGCTGTCAACTTTATTATTTGTTTTTACTATATAGAGCGCATACGATTTACAAAGCCGAATACTAAAATTATGGTCAGGGGGTGAATTACCAAAAGCCAATCTGCTTTAAATATCCCACTGATATAATGTCGTGCATTTCAGCATCTTAGCAGAAACATCAGTCGTAGAAATCATCGACGTCATGGTTGTCTGTGTTGAACGCTGGAGGACGTACGGCCGCTTCTATCTCTGAGTTGCTGTCATCGGATTCTTGCCACAAAGCTTTAAAAAAAAAAAAAGAAAAAAAAAAGTAATTAGAGCAGAACTTTACCTCCAAGCCTTATCAAATGTCTCTCAATTAGTCAAGTGAACTTTGCTCATACATTTAAAGGGGGTGAATTTAAACAGAAAGTTTCGGACGGATTGTTTTTCCACCATCGAAGGTGAAAAAATGAGGACCCTCTGCACTCAAGAGCTTTAAAATACTACATTGGTGTCAAGATTACAGCTATTGAGAGTAAAAAGTATCTGGCTGTCGACCAGTTTTGTCAAGAATGCTATACTCTGGTTTTACTTGAAATACTTAACAAAATCTATGAAATTTCTTTTGTTTGTTAGGTTTGGTTAAAAAAAAAAACTACAGAGGCAGAATGTTCCTTCAAACAGGACTGTTTTCACCATCTAGTAGTGAAGTAGGTGCCTTTAAAAGATGCTTTCAGTAACCCGGGCTTGGCTTCAAGGTCATTTTCTTTTCCTATTTGTACATCTTCAAAAGGCACAGCTGCAATCAAAGAATGTTTTAATCAAACATGGTTTTTTTAGCGGAAAACCTAAATTTTTAAATAATTTCAAACATGTTAACACGTGCATCTTTTTAGAGTAATCTATTGGGTATAATCAATCCATTTCTTTGTTTCCACGCACTCAATGAAAATGACTTGTAGATCTACACTCACTCACCTTTTGGCTGTAGAGCAGAAAAAGCCTTTGAGTTCTCGCTCCTGAAAAACAGAATAACAGTCAGTAGCCTTGTAAAGTTAGGCTCTTTTTAAGAGGCAACTGTTTTTTATTTTACATCTCAGACTGCTACACAGTTGTATTGTATATGTAGCACCAAACACTGTTAACATTTTTCAGAAACATCAGTTAATGCATCAAACACAAAAAAGACTAGGGTGCAACGAAGTTACAAAAAATTTACAAAGTACCAAAAGCAACTCTGCAACAACAACAATCTAATTAAATCGCCCTACGAGGTTACATTTACTGGCTAAAATCAGATAGAGGGAGCAGAGGGAACTTCCTTGACTCCTCTTTCGATTGTGCCTGAAGACTTCCACAAGGCCCTCTTTATTCAAAAAGAGTCCAGAGACAGGGTTGCCAGGTTCCCATAGCTCTGGTGATATCGCTATGTAAATGTGTGACCTCCGAAAAGGCTTTGATCTACCTCAATGCATATGCAATAAGGCCCCCTGCTTCACTTTTAAAGGCCTCCTCTTTAATTTACATCATCACAGAGCCTATTCAAAACCCAACAATATATCCCCATCATCTCCCAGGTTAGCATACATATCCATATAGCTTATCTGTTGTCTGCATTAGGGCTGTTTTGACACTTTTCTTGGAAAATAATAACAAACGGTGCGAGAGTTTTGCACAGATGAACTGAGGCTGCCATGTGGTGTTGCTGCTCCATCTGCATCAATTCAAACCCATGAACTCCCCGATTGTCACCCTCTCAATCACCCTCATCTCCTCATCTCTCGCTCAGCTAAATCTTGGCACATGTGACTGTACATTGAGTATAAGGACCAAATTACTTTGGCTCTGTTCCAGGTGCTGCCTCCTAAACTATATATTTCTGCTTTGCAGCCACTCGAGACAGAATGAGAGAAAAATATGCACCTCCCTTTCCAAACTGGGAGCAGATTGCTTTGTGCTATAAACAATATACCGCAGAGCCAGAATACTCATTACAATATCACCTTTAAATTCATTTGCTGATAGGACATCCTACAGAACATGTGCAAGATCCGTGCATCTGGTCAGAAAGCACATCAGGTCTCCGGCACTTAAATTGCAAGGCAATGAAAGCAGAGAATGAGCTGGATAAGCAGTAACCCAAAAAATAATAAAGACACAAGAACAGATAATAAGCACTTTTGAAAAGTGAAGACATAGCAGATTACATGGCGGTATTTAGATGAGGGGTTTTGTTTACCAAAATGTGATCAAAGTTGTCTTGTGAATACACACAAATAGGAAAAAAATTAAGAAATTAAACATCTTCCTTTTGTAGCCTCATTTGAGTCTAAAAATACTTTTACGGGCAGTTATTTTTGTTTGAATGTAGAAAGAATGTGTGAATGTAGGCAATTTGAATTATGTGCTTAACCGTTAAGTGTATGTGAATGTGTAAGCATATTGTTTCACATATATACAATCTTACAGATAATGCTGTTGAGCCGGTTACTTTGTTTCTAGATGGATCAAGAAGAAATGTTAAAGTCCAACTCAAACAACGGGGACAGGCGCGTCCATCCACAACTGCTGGCCAATAGACCTCAGACACAGCAGCAGCAAAAATACTGCAATAATCTATTCAATTACTTCCTCTCCTCTGCCACAATAATAACTGTTTTGGAGAGTAAATTGGGCTTTTCTTTTCCCGGACCCCCCACCCCCCAGACGGGAATGGCCTATCAGCTGTTCCACTTCAGTGAGGTACAGGACTGATTTCAAGACGGGGCTATTACCGCAGAAAGCCCAGGCAGGATCTGACCTCACCGATCCAATATTCTGTTTCCATAAACATTTATGCCAGTTCGTCTTCTGCTGAGATTCACCTAATTGAGGCAATGATCTCAATATATAAGACTTGTGTGTGTGTGTGTGTGTGTGTGTGTGTGTGTGTTTCAAGCTCCGATGACCAGAGGTGAATATCATGTGTAAAATGATGCAAATGACTGTTACTGCAAACTTTTTCCGAGCTGTGTCCGTGCGCGCTCTCCGGTCTTTCCAACTGTGCCTTAATGTTATTTTAACAGGTTTTATGTCCGAGTTCACAATAATCTGTCAACCTGTATGTAGCTCTGCACAAAGTTTGACAGGAAAAACACACGCTAGCTTTTCCAGTGTACGCAATAGTTGCTTTCTGCGTTGACATATTGTGACTTTAGTCATGTTACGGCGTATTTTACTCAACTAAATTAAAGCAATTAGTTGGAGAAAAAGCTGCATGTTTCATTAAGAATGACAGAATAGTTTTGTTTTTTTTAATGCAGCAACTAAAATGTACCTTAAAACCTCTTAATTTAGTAGTGGAAAATTACACTTTTGTCAATTTCTGAAAATTCAGGCAGAGCTTTACTACTAGTAACATTTGGCAAGACCTGTTTATGTGCTACAATTTAAGCAGCACAAACATCAATGCTTACTCACAGGCTGAAATTGAACATCTAAACTACTTTTACATCAATGCTTATAATATAAAACTTAATCAAGCCTTCAAGCTATAGACCAAAATAACATTTTCTCTAACACAAGTACAGTTTAAAAATAATCATCAAGTTAAACTAGGTCAAGATCCCCGAAAGAGGTATGTTGTGTTTAATCCTGGAGTCTCATGATGGGGAGCCGAAGAACTTTATGCTTACCAAGCATTTAATGCTGCCTTGTCGACAGCTAGAAAACTGCTTTTATTTACCATGGATTTTTTTAAGCTCCTGCCACCCACACACAAATGCTAATAGCACAATAGCACTTTTGCTCGGCTCTGCTTGTCTAAAGGTAAAGGGAGACCCATCACCTCATCATTCCCATCAACTCCTACTCCCATCCCAGCTATGACCCTGCAGAAACATTGTTTAGGCTCCGTTTAGATGTACTCTAACAGGCCTGAATGGTAGCAGGATATAGCCCTCAGTGGGGGCAAACAGCGCGAGGCACCTGTGAGTGCACTGAGTGGGCGCACTCTAACGTGTGAGTGCTCTCTGCTGGCAGTGAGCAAGTACTGCAGCTCAGAGGAAGAGGAAGAGGCATTTGGGCCACTGATTTCAACACTCTCCTCTTAGACTGATGGCAGTCGAGTGAAGATGGCTGAAGATCGGATCATTTGTCCTGTGATGCTTTTTTTTTTCTGCACGTCACAAACTACTGGCTGGCTCTGAAAACAGTGACACACACCACAGAACATGGAGTAATTCTGGAGAAAATACAAAAGTATAATTACGACAGGAAAGGATAAAACTAAAAATGAAGTCATATTTGCTCTGTTTTTGTCTTCTTGGTTGTGATGCTTGAGCAGATCTTTTTTCTTCTTTTTAATAACCAAATTATACATCAGTTACAAAATTCAAACTTCCTGCGTAGGACCTCATCTGGTTTGTCTCCAAAAGGCGCCTTTGTCTGTTTAATTAGCAATGTTGTTTTTTTTCTCCAAATAAAAAAAACAAAGGTCTGGAAATATCCAAAGGTCTGGAAATAATTCGGCCACAGACTGCATCCTATAACATAATGTTGGAATTCTAAAAACAGTACCGCCTTGTTCGTTGTTGTCTCTGTTCCTATCTCTCCTGTTCTCCCTTTACTATCTTTTCCCCCTCACTGCCCTCTCTCAGCTCATGTCCCTCGCACCCCTCTATCTCTCCTCCCAGTGAATTGTCGGATTCACACACACAGCTCTTCCATGAAGGAGGCGGAGGGAGGGGTTTAGCGGGAGATAGATGGAGCTTCTGATTTTGACACTCAGTGATTTGAGGTCGAATGCTTGAGTACATCCTGTTGTCCAAAGCAAAGCAGTAAACCACTAATTGTTGAGTCAAGGTTTTTGTCAAGCAGGTATCAGGCAACACAATCCTCACTCCATCCCACAGCTGTGGGATTTAGTGTCCATGCATGTTTACGCGTTTTAAGGGTAAAAAATCAGGCAGGACAAAAAGTTAAAAAACCCAAAATGAAAAATAAGAAGGGAGTGGCATCTGAAATGCCAGTAGTAAAGACAGGCACAATGATTCTTTGCACGAGGGGAAGCACTGGCATGCACTTGCACACAAAGAGGAACAAGTGGTCTTTACATGGAGTGCAGCTGCTTATTAAGACTCACTCCTTCGTGCATTATTTCTTTCATTCCCACTCAACCACAAAGTGATTTTACTCTGCCACTAACAAAGGCTGCAAAAGATTTTTAATGGACAAATCCTTAATAAATGTAGCAGATCAGTTGTAATACAATAAACGGAGCATTCCATAAAAGTATCTTACTGAAAAACACTGTGTGGGAGAGAGCAATGAACAGAGAAAGAAATTATGAAAGACCCCAATTCTCTCAAACTCTATAATAGTGAAATGAGCACATATAAATGTGTTAAGAGTATCTCTTTGCATCTTGTATAGACTGCATGTATTTAATCTGTAAAGCTTATTAAGGCCATAGTCATTGCTATGCAAAGCAGCGCCCAGTGCTTTTCTCTTGCTTTTCAGCCAGGAGCAGTGTTTGGCCAATAGGACTGGCCCCCCGCCTCTCATTCTGCATTCATAACATGCAACATTTGCACAATGTATCTCTCAAAGGCCCTGAATAGAAGGCCTTAATACTCATGTAAACAACTGCAAACCAATTACTTAATGAATCGAGCCCACACATAATGAGGAGCTTTACAAAGGGCTATAAATGCATTTTTTGCACCAAAGCCTTTTGCTTTAAACTACAATCCCTCTGCTGTAGTCTAGGCTTAACAGGCAAATCATAATTATTGTCTAAGACAACAGAGAGGAAGCCATTTTTGTATTTTGAGTCCAGCTCCATCCTCCTTTTGAAGTCACTCATCAGCTCGCTGACAAAATAAAGCAAATAATTAACAAGTAGGATGGAGAGAAGGGAGAAGAAATACAGGAAGACCGAGAGGAAAGTGGGGGAGAGCGATGGAGAAATGGCATGAGAGCCAGAGAGAGTGAGACGCAAGGAAAAAGAGGGAGGGAACCGGGGCAAGAGCACACTGCAGTGTTATGCTTCTGCTTAAGTGCAGGGCTTCCAGACCACTTGTGGAAGCAATAAAGCGCAAGAAGTGACTGTGGCAAGTGGAATGCTTAAATCTAAACACTGATGAGAAACCAAGAAAAAACAGGCGGGATTGCAGTATACCCAGACAGATGATTATGAGGGGCTAGCACCTCATGTTGTTTCTTCCTTTCCACCTCAGGTGAGATTAGTATCAGGCACGCTTTACTACCCGTCTGTCCAGTTTCACAGAAATATACAGCAAACCTTCTGCTTCACCCCGGCATTTAGTGCCCGTCTAATTTTTGCTCAGTACATTTTGTTTAATCACACATATTGTGGGCTTCCCATGCACATTAATGACGGAGAGGTACCACCTGAGAGGGTCTTGGATCCAAAATTGGCTCATGTTTATTAAATAGGTTGGTCAGTGAGGCTGGCAGGGGCAGACATCAGCAGATATGAGAACCACAATAGAGCCAGGCCATTAGGCCTTTCCCTGGACTAATAGGCAGGCTGGGAGTGCCTGTTTCGCAGACCAGGGAGATACAGACTTTAGCCCTTGTGTCAGTGTGGTGCCCGGTAATCACATGAAATCAGAGAAGATTATTCCTCATAACGTTTATCCAGCCATTATAACAGCCCAAATGGGTTTGCAGTGAAGAGGTGCTCTGAGGACCTGAAATGCAATTGCAGATTTGATGAAGTTGTGTTGATATTCAAATATATCTGTGATGGTGTAAGCTTCCCCAAAGCTATTTATCATTAGAATTTTTTTTCCCGTGTCCACTCACAGCTCTGATTTGAGCAACCTAAATAATGTTTCAAGGGTGACAAATGAAAGGACATTTGTCCTTGTCAGCACTCGAGTCCCCTTCTTCCGAAACAGTGTACAGTGATTCTCTTCTTGACATGATCTGTTTGTATTCAGACAACAAGCCTGAAAACAGTCAGATTGTGGCTCCAATTTATTTTTGTGGCAGCTGATTTGCTTTTGAATTCTAAAACTGGTTGAACCCAGCTAACAGTGAGTAAGAGGGGCTTTAGGGGCCTTTTGTCTTTGTAAGCGAGTTAATGGGTGGCGCCCCCTTGATCTTATGGAAATGAACAGGGAATTATGAGAGCCGCCATGCAAATGTACATCAACCACTTTGGTGTCTGGTGGCCCATTTCCTGTGGCCCGTTGAATAATAACAATGTTCTTACCGAGGGTAAGGGTCTTGATGTGAGGAGCGTTTGGCCCTCCCCAGGTCCTCTTCATGGACACGATTTATTCCTTAAAAGAGCAAACAGGACAAGATAAAACCATTTGATTTCTTGATTGATCTCATCGCAGGCTAATTTACCATGCATATTTACGTCCAAACTTATGATCAGGCTTCTGAGAAGCTAAGGGGGAGTTTCGAAACACTGATTTTGGGGTTTCAGAAATAGCTACATGCTCACAAAAAGAGGGATTGGGACTTCTGTTTAAAAAATGACTTTTATGAACAAACAAATATCTATTAGGGGGAAAATATCAAATAAAAGATGTTTAAGAAAAAATTAAAAAAGAGATCACAACCAAAAAATGAGAATTTATGTTAATATTTTGGGGCTTTAAGCTTCCATTTTTCAATCCATACTTTTCCTCATGCGCCGTGAGGACGTACAAACCTCAGTAACTGCTGATCAGTCTCCAGTTGGTCGCTAATGTGCTGGTTGAGCCATCACAAGTCTTACCTGAGAGCCCACTCTGCTCCTCTTCCTCCTCTTCAGAACTCGGCAGCCTTTCCTGCATCGCTGACTGTTTAAGTAACTGATATGCTTTTGTCTCTATTCAGGGACACACAAACATGTACACAAGCACAGAGATGCACGGTCACAGACAAATATTTGATCAAAGCCAGGTTTCCAACTTTCAGAGGTTTCCGTGTTTGATGAGACAACACGCTTCAGTGGCTCGTGGAGTTTTTTGTTCTTAGCGCTGAACCGAGTGAGTAAAAACACTGCTCAGTCGACTAAGCTGTTGATTCAAGCCTCCTGCATGCAGTGCGAGTTTCCACGAGATGGCAAGCAGCGGCTCACTTTATCTCAACATCCCTTTTCAGGGAAGCAATGATCGGATGTTCTTTTTAAACTACCCCCAACCCCCCAAACAAACAAACTTGTAATTATTTTTCAGCACCATAAAATGCACATTGTGTTTGAGTGAGCGATGGATACGGCTTTGGTGAAAATAAACAGCATAACATGTAAATGGCCTGTTATATCAGCAACATTTTGCAAATCAAAATCTACCAAATCAGAACGCAATCTTCTATCTAGAAATCCAAGCATTCTGTACATAGTTCCAGAATAAATATACTACATTTGATCACTTTCTCAAAAAGAAAACAAAAAAAAATAAAGTACAGTGCAGCCTTCTCTGATCCGCCTGGGGCATTTTACACAGACACTGTTTTACATGTGGTCTGAAAAAACATACCCCACTAAGTCTACATGCCTTGGCAATTACTATCAGTTCCAAGGTCACCGTATTTGATTGTGACATTGATGTCACTCGGCAAAGCAAAACCTTTCCCTTGTAATGTCTTTAGTCATGTTTTCTGTTTTTTTTCTGCTGGTTATAGCTCTTTTGATTAAGTGTTGCGATTGGGAGCTGGACTCATTTTGCTGGCTGTGCACCTTAGGGATGCATGCACATGAAAAACTCAGTGGGAAATCTGATAGCCAAGGGTAACGCAGGATTGCTTTACATTTCAGAGGTGTTGCAGAGGGATGGGCACACCAACGGCTTCCAGGATGCCCTCACATCTAGTACTTTTCAAGTCCAGCCTCGCCGGAGCATTGTTTAGAAGATAATGAGAAGTGATGACAGATCTTCTGCGCTACCCACCCTGGTGCACTGACAATTAAAGGAGCCGCATTATGCTGGGCCAGCGAATTATCAGTCATGCTAGAATGCCTCAGACCAAGCTGGAAACACGGCTAGTGTTTTTTCGGAGATAATTAGAGAGAACTAGTGCAGCTCTTCAGGTGGGACTTTGACCCTGGATTCATCTTGATCATCCTGTCTCAGCCATTGTGTAAAAGAGGCCATTATTCACTGCAGTGGGAAGGAAACAAACCACAACATAAGGACAGTGTGAATGCAGAGGCACCAGCAATGCCTTTTTACCTCTAATAGGACCACTTTCCACAGGGCTTTCGTCGTGGCTGTCCTCTTCAGTGCTTTGTAGTTCTGTAAGAAAGGGAAGCTCATAGTGAGAAGGAATAGCAGGGAAGAAGCGAGTCTTGGGGAGAAATGGAAAAGGGGTCTTTTTTAGCTCTGTATGGAAAGCTGTATGAAAACTGGTGTGTGACGTTTCAAATATAAGTTCAATGGTGAATTTAATCGTTTTAAAAAAAAGGTAGACTTAGTGTTCTACAGAGGTGATTTGCAAATATCAAAACAGGGATTGTACGTCACGTGGAATGAATCTGAGGTAATCTGCATCCATCTATATCAAACCACAGATTACCACTTTATAACCGATTGAAAATATATAGAAAACCCTCCAATGTTAATTACACAGAAATATCATTATTAGTATCACTCTAATGATATCCCTGGTGAATTCGTACCACTAATCTTCTTTTACCTTGTATCCGTGGCCTCTGTATCGATCTGTTGGTGCTCACATCTTTGCCAGTCAGGAGAGGAGGATGACACAAAGAAGAAATGTCACTCTCATCCTCTGCTGAGGGGCACTCCTCACTGGACCGGGAGAGAAGTGTCCTCAGCAACACTTTGGCCTGCAAGCAGCACAAATTAAAACCACACTCTTAATTGTCCTCATTTTGTGAAGAAAGTCTTAAAATTGAACCCTCTGCAATTAAGCAAGTCATTTACTTTGGCCATGGCTGCTCGCACAGAGGTGCAGCTGTAATGCGTGTTCAAACGCCAAGAGCCAATAGCTTCGAATTCTCTCACTCGTTTAACTAAAAAAAGATTATTTCGCACACTTTTGCTCCTGCTCCCCCCCTCAATCACTTTTGTCCTCTCTGTCTCTTCTCATCCATGAGATTAGAGAACTGCCTAAAGAATGCAATCACCCTGCTCTTAATGTGCAACACGTTCCAGATATCTTTCCTCTTGTATGAGAGGATTGAGACAAACTACTCTCTTCCCCTCTCTGCAGCTCATTTTTATCTCTGTGGAGATGAGGATACACAATTAAGAGGAGCTTCTCTGGGAGATGAGGAGCAGGGAGATGCCATACACCGATTTCTTTCTTTTCTTTTTCCCTCCCCCATATCAAACTCTGCCATCATCATCTCTCTTTTGTGATCAAAGACTGCCTCTCATCCTCTGCTGGCCATTGGTAACTTTTAATGAACGTTAATATGAAGGGGATGATCAGGAGGATTTTGACAGTGACAAAATTTAAGCACATTGTAAGTTGTTATCAGTAGGTAACAGCAAAGATTGACAATGTGCAAGCTTTCATTTTTCTGTGAGAAGATATGCAAACACAAACCAATCTGACTTTGTCCTTCTTGATTTGATGCAGCCACACAATAAAAAAAACTGTCTTGATCCTTGTCCCTGATATCCCCCTTTGTTCATCTTTTTTTTTGGTCTGTCTGTCTGTCTTTTTCTATTTTTTTTATAGATTTAGCCAATGTACCCTGAGTTGAGGGCTCTTGCAGATCCACTGCATTTTAAATATCAATGAATGCAACTGTTAGCACTTGAATATTCAAAGGGCCTCTTTGAGTGTGTGCATGCGAGCTGCATGCTCCCATTTGTCGATGTGGCCAGGCTGCGTGGCAAGACGTGAATGGAGATTTTTGTTTGCTCTTGTGTGTAGCAAGTAAGCTGTTGTGCGAGAGGACAGCGCATAAAAGGAGAGATGGAGAAATAGAGGATGGGAAAGAGGAATAGATGCAGTGAGACTCTGAGTGATAGAGGAAGAGAAAGATTTTCACTCAGGCTTTTCCTGATGCACTTGGATACAATGATGTAGATGGCGGTACCCCTCTTCCTTTTGTCAGTTCATATTTTCAAGAGGCCCTACAGCCTCCCTCTTTGGCTCTTTCGCTGCATCAGGAACACTACAGTAAGATCTCCGAGCCACAAGATCCCAAATAAGATGTGTTCTTACAAATTAATAGCACAAAAACCTTCATAAAAAAAGATGATCTACCAAACAGAAGGGTCCATAGTGGCACCGCAAACATAAAGTATCTCTTGATGTCCTATTTGGACATTGAGTGGGTATATTTTTTGCAGTGTATTTCTTTATTCAAAGTGACATAATCTACACAAGCTCATTGATAGGAGAAAAATTGTAAATGGCTCCCTTTTTCAATCAGTCAGCTGATGGTTATAATTTTGGTGAAACCTAAATTAAAAGCAAGTGTTTCTCAGATGAATACACCACATGAGATGAAAGAAACCAAGCTGAGGCTGTAATTTGCGATTACTGCATGGGTCAGGGTTTGCTTTCTGTGAGGGTCAATCTGGGGAGCAATCTGATGAGTAGCGAGCTAGGGCTTGGTCTCAAGCACGAGACACAATGAGGGCTTTCAGTTTCAGCTGCACTTCCCATCAAAAATATGCAAAGAAACAAGAAAATAGATTAAAAATAACATACAAATATATCCATATGTTTCCTTTCATCACTGTATCCTCACTGCATTAATAAACTCTTGTAAGAGGATGTTGATGTAACTAAGTGACTTCCCTTTTGTGTGCGTGTGTGTTTGTGTGTGTGAGAGTGTTGTGGCAGTGTATGAGCCTTCGACGCTACCTGCTGGCAGTAGGTGGCATGGCGCTGCAGCAGCAGTGGCGTGAACAGTTGGACCAAGTGCTCAGTGCTGAGGACACGGCGCTCCTTGAGCACAAGGGCATGCTTGAACCAGCGGTCCCACAGCCGAGCAGCATTAGGAGGGAGGCTGGTTCTGTGGCAAAGGTGGGGGTTGCGTTGCATAGAGAGAAAAGGCTCACTGAGAATGTGGTTTAAAAAATTGTCAGAGTTCCATCCTCATACGCTGACAGATTCTTTCGGTTTACAAGGAAACTGAGGAAGAAACTGTAACTATTAGTCAGGCCCATTTTTTCACGGCACATTGTGCAAAAGCTGTGCGGTAACATCTTTAAACAACTTATAGATTATTAATGAACTACAGGAAACATTAACTACAGACAGGGTGTTTTAGCCTGATGTTGAAAAACTGAATAGAAGGTCGAGGTCGGACAACAGCAATCTCCAGAGGACAAAGAGCATCACTGCTAGATGTGTCTCTTAGAACTGAGTGTATAACTGGAAAGGTCTCAGTGAAATCAATAGAGAAGTGAAGCAAGTCATGGATTTGTCTCAGAGTGTAACTCCTCATTATCCAAAGGACTGGAAGTCACAGATAGGGCATTTTAATTTACGCTTGGCATTCACCCATGTAGTGTTATCGTATGAAGTGACACCGAAGATGACCTTTTCCATTTGTGGACAGAGAAGAACCAGACCCTCCCTAAGGTCTGGCTGAGAATAAATAAATATAATATCAATAAATGAACACAAAACTGTCAACACTCTGTCTGAAAGACCGAATTAGTCTTTACTGTAAATCGATTAACTTTTTCTAAGAAAAGAAACATCTATTGAATTCTCTGAACACTGATGTTTCTGCTCTGAATTACATCGGTGCAGAAAGGAAAAAATATCATTATCTTCACGAAACATTGCTACATTTGAAAATAAAAAAATCAATATTGTATAGCTAAATACAGCATGAAGTAAAGAGAAGAAAATCATATAAATTATTCAACATCCATATCCCCTAATTTAATCAATATGGCAAAAAAAACAAACACACAACTAGCAAACAGTTAAGAAATAAGTAAAAGTCCAGTTTTTGGCTTTTGTGCCCCGAGAAACAAGGACCCTTACCTGATTTCATTAGGCTCGGTGCTGTACTGATGCACGTTAACTAGGTCCTGTGATAGCACGCCACCCGTTTCTGTGCTCCATGACAACCCCTGAAGATTACGAAGGACGACTGCTCCACATGCTTCAAGGTCCTCTTCATTCAAGCCCACTCCATCATCACAAAGGCTGCCCAATATATGGAAAGCAGTAAGGCATTGCCATGGAGCCCTGGGCTGAGCCCACGGGTCAGGACTAACAACATGTATACACATCAATGCAACTAAATATCACGGAAGGTCATTACATAAAATGGTCACTCTTTAACAGAGAATGAACTCTTTAGATTAGTCCGTTTGTGCTTTAACACAGAAGCAGCAATTATAGTAAATTAATAATGTTGTGAAGTATAAAATGCTTACGAAAAATGAGCCCAGTGTAATGAAACATTCCCCGTCCTCTATCACTGACTCCCAATAACAATTCCGCTGGGCGGTTACTATAACAATCCCATGTGTTTGAAAACCCCTCAGAAATAAAGACGCATGCCTCATGGTGATGACACTTAATCTAATACGAGAGCCCTCAGCAGAAGCATAATATGTTTCTCTCATCTGCACAAACTGCTTCATGTTCATTAAATGAATTCACATAGCATTTCATGTAGACAGGGCGAGATAAAACCGTAAAGTTTGGAGAAAAACAGGTATACCTTATGATTCTATTGAGCTGTCTTCGCTCAATTGAAGAATCCCTGTACACACAGGTCTGTTCACCGTGGAGTCGTCCTTCAATGCTGTCAAGCAGATTGAAGAGTCCTTCCAGGGAAAGGCTGAAAAAAACATTACCCAATAATATGGTGAAAGGAAATAAAAGTGGAGGAGGTCATGTGATCAATAGGCACGCTATCTGTAGAAGAAGAAAAAGGAAAGGAATAATAATAAAAAAGAGCTATGGTATTTGATCTAGAAATCTGTGATAGATTTTCCAGGCAATTTCTTTGAGGTACTCAAGGACCACTGGACAATCTGGTCATGAAAATGTGATGGCCACATTGCAGAACTTCAGCGGGTTTGTTGACGCTACAGCATGTACCGTAATAACATCTTGTATGGGAAAGCTTTAAGTACTGGCTATACATTTAGCCCTCCAGTGATGTGCACATCACAACAATGTCATCTGTCTCAAATAGAAATACTATTTAATATAATGAGAAAATTTTGCTCCGATAAAATGCTGACACCCGCTCACACTTAAAAAGGTAAGAAAATGCCTTTTTAAAAAAGAGAGGGGCCTGTGGATAAAAAAAAATTTTATGAGAGATTTAGACTTTAATCTGGCCCTGTGTGTGGCTGAAAAACGAGAAACGGATGCCTAATGCATGTGGATGTTGAGAATCCATCTCTTTCTTGAGCATTAAGCTCTGGGTGGCCCTCATTGAATTCACCCAGAAACCCCAAGCCGAGAAATCCTGAGCCGCCTTCCATAAAGAGAGGCCAAAAAGAATTTATGACAATCTGTAATGGGCTCGCGGGTTAGGGGTCAGCAAACAATTGCTCCCTCCTTTTTGCAGGTTGTTTCCTGGTAACATCCTGATTAAACTGGCAGCTTGAATTATATCCATGACATTTTGTAGTGTGCAATCCATCTGTGCCAAGTCCTCTTTAGTGTGACTGAAGTAGAATAGGCAAAAGGTAGAACACTGTCTTTTTTTTCCTTTCCCTTATTGCCAGTGCGGGCCTTGAAATAGTCATCTTTCTCTTTCCACTTTATTTATCAAAGCTCTTCAGAAAAGACCTTTTGAGAGGGAGAAAGTGAATTAGTTGTGTTTTTCCTGCAAACCTCTCTATTTGTATTGTTGCCGGCTTGCATGTCAAGGTCTCTAACCTCACTTTAGATGCTGTTGTTGTCTGCATGTCAACATCATCAGGAGCGCATTGTTAGCCAGGTGGAAGAGGTCAGTGGCAGTATTGCTCTACAACATACAGTCTGGACTCTGGGGTCATTTACCACATGGGACAGCCTCAAACCTGAATGAGTGTTGTCAGGGGAATCTCACTGTGTTTGCTCAGACAGCAAAGATGAAACACAAAGGGGCTTAAAATTGTTACCAAATTGCTAGCACCTTAATACCTTTAAAAATTTGTATTTGTATATTTTAGCAAGCCTTACATTGCCTTAATGACATTGCAGTACACTATTATTTAGCACATACTATTTGTGTTCTTCTTGACTTGTTTGGATTTAAAAAAAACGGCGTTTACTGGATAGAATGCTGTCACCAGAAAAAGCAGAGCCAGAGTTCAGAGACAGCATATTGGTTAGCAGGACACACCGAGGTCATAATGAATCATCCCCCAGAAGAAACTCAGACAATATTTCAGTCAGAGTCACTCTGTACTTGCTGGAGGAGAAATATAATGGGATAATCTAATGAATTGCCGGAGCTTGTTTTTCCTGACGGTGAGCTGAATGGAGGGAGCAATATAAACTCTAACCTTAAGGAAAAGAGAGGGAGAGGATAGAAACTGGATGCTCTCTGCGCTTCACATCAAAGCCCCTGGTTTTCACCTCATACACAGAAGCTCTCCGTGTTAACAATGGAAGCTGCAGCCCCCACCATCGTCTCCCCGACACAGGCTAACTGCAGCCCCTTTTAAGGTCACCCCATAAAAAGTATAGTAGACCACACATAAATATAGTCTGACACAACTTGCTGCCCTCCAAGCGAGAAAATATAATCCTTCACACTAGTTTTGGTACGTATAAAGACCATAGTCATTTTCAATAATAATACTTGACTGAGATAGTGCTTGGAACAGATTCTATGCAAATACATTTAAGTGTTTAATACTAAAAAACATTTTTATGAGCAACGGTATGTTTATTCCAAGATTAAGAAGACATACATTTTTATTTTCTGGATAGCATTAAGCATCCCAAAGGCTTAATGCTATCCAGAAAATAAAAATTGCCAACACTGAATCTCTCTTTCAGACAAATGTGAGAGAGGGCAAACAGAATTCAAGCTTTTCCTAAAAGTCACAAAACAGTCAAGCTAATAAAATAGTATATGTATTCTGTAGGCAGCATGTGCCAACATTCACATGGGATTTTTCTGTTGGCTCTGAACCCATCCAAAGTGATCCTTAAACTCAGAGGCCATCATCTCACCAAGGATTTGTGGCTCTAAGTGCTGTCTACATGCCCACTCTCAAGATAGCTCTATGGGGCCACAAATTTCTTCCTCCACTGGGGACTTCCTGAGGTCTCTCAAGCAGAAAATTGCTCCGTTACAGCATTATCTTGGATTATGGCAATATTGTTGTGGACAGGTCCTGAGCTCTCCCTGTTAGATGCATCACTGCCGCCACCACAGCCACTGCGGAATGACTGAGAGCACGGTGACACGGACCACGACTCGCACAATCCTGTCAGCCTCAGGCGTGATGGTCGCAGGGATTGGGTGGCGTCTTCACCCACTATCATAACAGCCTTCTGTCTTTCAGCATGTCCAAGCATAACATTCTCCTTTCTTTAGGACTTTGGAGAAATACTAACTACGATATATGAAATTTAAAACAATAACATGCTACAAAATAACAAATACGGGTGTAATTTTTCCTCTAATGACAAAAAAAACTAAATACATACTGCACCTTTCTGAGGTCACCACTGGAGCTGAAGAATCACTGTCGGAGTGGGCGGATGGATCAGGGCTGTGCTGTTTATGATCACCGCTCCCTCCGTCAGAGGCATTCCTCTTTGCTGACACGTCCTCTGGTAGATCTTCCTCCGTCTCAGATTGTGTCAAAGATATTGTCAGGTCACTAGCACTGCTCTCTGGCAACTGCTCTTCAAAACTGGGTCCACTGACACTCTCACATTTCCCTGAATGTAAACACACCACTTGGCTTATTCAAAATCTTCAAAGGGGAAAATAAAGTGCTTAGAACTGTCGAATTCAGCAAAGGAGGATAAAAGATACTATTAAGTTGTAAGGAAAAATATCACTGCAAACCTGATGTCTCTTGAGCTTCTTTTCCAAAAGTGGTTTCAGGCATCAAATGGCCACGACCTCTCTGTTCATCTCCCATTATGAGTGGCTCACGAGCCACCTCTTGGGAGTCAGTGTGTTCTGCAAGGGAATTCTTAGCCGTCATATGGCTACTGTTGCCAGGAGATGGATTCTTCTCAGACCTCGTCAAGGTCACCAGAGGTGAAGCTTCTTGCTCATCATCACTTCCAGAAGCCACACTGCCAGCTGCGCCCGTTAAGGCACGAACAGATGGGAGCAGCCCCATCATTCTTTCATGTTTGTCACTCAAATTACAGCCGTCGGGGGAATCGTTTGAGCCTGAAATGTCATCTGATAAATGTGCTCGCTTACTGGCGACATCCTCTCCGCCAACTCTGAAGTCCTTCAAAAGGCCACTTGGTAGACGTTCGCGGGAGTGCGCGCAGCGATTGGGCGAACGATGCAATGCTTGGTGTGAGTGTACACTTGTGGTGCAAGCCTCAGTGTCAGACCCTCTGGAGGTCTGGCGGTCCATGAAAATTTCCACCGGTGATGGTGTAAAACCCCTGGCTGGGTGAGAGATGTGGCCGTCCCACTGCCGTCGTTGCACAGCTTCAACCTACATGGGAGAAAACATATCATGCTGGCAGCTTAAGATGAGTGAAATAAACAGAAAAAGGATATTTTACTGTTATGGGCATGCTTTTTTAAGCTGAAAAATTACATTGCTACAGTTAAATAAGATTAATTTGAAAGGAAATTCAACTCAAGTATGCTAAATATCCCTTTTAAGAGTTTGAATGAGCAAAGCTTGTTTGGGCCAAGGTCAAAATTCCTTTCTCAACATTTTCAGAGGAATGTCTCCGGATCAATGTTTTAACTTTTAATCTTATTAGAAATCCTTTCGACAAGTTTTGATTCATGTCTGCAATGTCACCAAGGGGAAAATAGAGAGAGGCAAAAAAAAACCTTCCTCCAAACATAATAACAAAAAGCATGGCTTCTGTTTCTTTTCTGATAAGCGTCTTAAATACCAAACAGTTAGCTGCTTAATAACATTCACTGTAAACCATGCAGCCTGCCCAGCAGATCCACAAAGTAGGTAAAAAAAGAGGAAAAGTTAATTTCTTGGCTGAGTGATTCCATCGGTAGCTGCAGGGCAAAGTAGAAAGTGTTTCACTAAAGTAGCAATTGATTCTTCTATCAATCTGCGGCACGCGTGTGCTCTTCCAAGGAATGTATTAAATATGAAAATCATATCCCGTTATCATCTGTCTCCAGCTTTCAGCCCGGTAAGCTTCCCTTAATGAATGCTGCAGCCTGAGGGACATGCACACAGCCAGCCAATGGCTTGTATGCATAATGGAGTGACGGTACCATTTTGCTCATTACAATATCGACAGGCTGAGGGGGGTTTTGCACACAGTTACAAGTGACTGCTCTAGACAGCATGCTCCAAGTTATTATGAGATGTCTTAGACATTTCATCTAAAAGAGCTTTAACTGCTTTAAGTGAAGGGAGAAAGCAGCTATGGGCTTGAACTACATCGCTCGTACAGATTCACCAGCTAGGATTAGACACCTGTGCTATTACAGATACAGAGTTTAAATGTAGACTCCTCTACAGATTTCCCAGACATAATGTCTACTTTCCTTTGTTATTCTAAAGCTGAAAACACAGCCTAAAACTGGAATTTACATAAACCCTGCAAACATTTTAAAAAGGAGGGCTTTTGCATGAAACACAAATAAACAATGACTACTATCCCTCTGACTATAAAAAAAATCTAAACCACATAACACAGACTTACAAGAAGTGATGTATTTGAAATGCATGATCTTCCTCTCCAATAGTATTTTCCTCAATTTAAACATAAATATTGTTATTACCAACATTTGACATATAATATTTTCAGTGTTAACCTTACCTTTGTTATTTCTATCTCTGGCTCCACGGTATCCTTTGCTTCAATATATCTGGAAATCTTTTTTATAAAATTTGCCTGTAACAAAAAGTTCAAATGAAAGGAAAAAAAAGAGGTAGAAATATTGAATTGCAACAAAAGGATAGATAAATACTTACAATAACAAAATTGTTCAACCCCGAACGCATAGGGATGCAACAAGGGTAGAATCCTTTCCGACTTGAAGCTGTTTATATGCATATATACATAATCCTCTGATGGGACTGTGTAGCTAAATATTATCTGCACATTGTGTGGAATCAAAAGGGACTACATCAAGCATCAGTCTGTGTCTGTCAATCAGAAAAAGGTTTTCCAAAGTGAATGTGCTCTGTGTGACTGCTGACATTCTGCCGAACAATTATCTGACAGGACAAACTACTTTAGCTCAACACAGCTGAAGACACACACACGTACACAAAATGCAACTTTTGCTGCCTCTGGCTGGGCTGTAACATTACATCCGACAACAACGGTAGTAAATGAAAGCAAACGTGCGACTGAGGCTGTGGAAATCAACATTTGAACTGTATAAGAATTTATGATTAGAAAAAAAAAGTTAAGTATGGGTATGAAATTGAGACTAAGAGCAACAGGACAACAAAAATAACAGCAAACATGCGGGATGCAAAACATCGAGAGGAAATAACCAACTGCTTGAGGGGAGAGAATGACTAAACCTCGGGAGCACTTCAGAGTCTCTATATTGGGCAATTAACTCAGTGAGCCATAATTAGCCAATTTTGTTAATTTGATATTAAGCTGTCAAGCACTGTCATTGAGTTTTAAGTGATAATCTGACTGGCTCATTGTTTTGTCCCTTGTTCACTTGCTTGTGGTGATAAATTGCACAGTTTGAGTGTTTACTACCGTCACATCGAGCCATAGAAAGTAAACACGTCTCCTATGCACGATCTATGCATCAAATCTACCTCTGTGGGTGTGGACTCTAAAGCCACTTAAAACACGCTTCCATTAAGAGAAAAACAAGGCCACCAAATAAATGAAATTGTGTGCTTGCCAGTGTGTGAATAGTGTGTGTGTGTTATACCTTTTGCTGTTGCAGGGGGCCACGGTCAGGACTGTATTCCTTCATGCTAATTTCTATGCACTCCACATCTCTCTGAAGCTCAAGGTTTCTCATTTTTGCTCGAGCCTCGCTGTCACAGATTTCTTTGAGATAACTGTGTAGTTTAGAATACTTTATCTGCAAGCTGAAGGCAGTGGAGAACTATTATTCAAAAGAGTCTAAGAGCATTGTCAAAAAAAAAAGGAGAGCGAGACTTCTCACAAGAAAAGGTTAAGCACAATATGATTCAAATTCAAATCTTCAACTCAGCTTTGTTATCAGTGTGAGCTTTTCTGTTTTGATATACATATTTATGATAGCAAATATGCATTGACATAGTCTCTTATGTGAAAACACAAAAATATTATATTACATATTATACCTAAACACATTATTCTTATTGATTGAAACATGTTACCTTGAAAATGTTATTTTGCTGAAAACATCAATAGTGTCTAGATGTATTTATTCCTTGTTTTTACAAATTCTTTTCGCCAGTGTGCTAAAGTTAACATAGAAAAGGCGGCTTTGCGCGCATTGGTATTGTGATGCGTAAAGTAAATGCGAATATTTTTGTTGTGCAGAAAACAAAGTCGCTTACATTCTTGTATCTGACCTGGAGTAATCAAACAGTTCCCTCTCCAGCTCTAGTCTCCGTTTTTCCCTGCACACATAAGAGTTAACAGAATCAGGTTCAGTGCAAACGTACATCAGTGTAGCATCTCATTTTGGGGCAGTTTTTTTTAGCAACATTAGAGGTCAACGACAACAGTTTTGCACGTGTATTAATCGTTTAACAAGAATAAAGTACACAAGTTTCCTAACCTGTCTGTTTTGTGCTTGAGGAAGGTTTAAAAAAGCCACTCAATCGGCTAGCTAAAAGGTTCCCAGTTTTCCCGGGCTTCGCTAGGTAGCTAGCAGGGGCAAGCTACAGGAGGATGGCACCAGGCGGCAGAGACTGGTACTCAAGCCCGAGGTCCCCGAGGGGCCCAGCTCCCGTTGACAATAAACAGAGAAGCCTCACCTCGTATACATGCTTTCTTGGATCGCTGCAATCTTTTTATAATACTGGTCCTCGGTGCGACCCGAACCGGCCATTTTCGCCTGCCTTTTTCCGCCGCCGCAGAGCACAGAAGAGGAAAATGAGGAGGAGTAGGGGGAGGAAGGTGGCTGTTTATTTTGGTTACCATGAGCACCGCTTCCCAGAAATCCCTGCTGGTAAACACGGGGAGCACGTGGTGCGAGGACAGGCGCGCGCTCCTCGCTGGCGTTCAGTCCAAACTAACATCATGTTTGTTCCGCCGCGCACGACGACAGCATTATCTGTACAACTGGAGTGAGAGGTGTGAAAAAAGATGGAGTTTTTTTTTTCTTTTAGATCTTTTTAACGCATGCTTAAATGTCATTCCTGATTATCCGAGGCTTTAACCCAACTTTGCTAAATACCAGCCATCAGAAGTCTTTCTTTGTCTTTTCCTTGACAGATTCAGATTTATCTGATGTCTGGTTTGTTCACATGGCCGCCGTATCATCCCCAGATCTCTTCTTGCTTTATCAAAGTTCATCACTGACAGTTGTCAAAATGTCATGTTTTGCAGCAGCTCGTCATTTGCTCAAAGCCAAACCACTACATGTCCTTGCTGGGGTTCTGAAATTGACAGCCCCTCCAAATGCACATCCTAATCAACTAATTTCCTCAATTCCAATCCTATCAAATTGCTCTTTAGCTGTTGAACTGGGGAATTTTGTTATCCTTTTCTAATGCTAATCTGCCCTATTCAGCATCTCTCTATGAGGCTATTTGTTGTAAAACAAATCCCCTTGTTTACCTCATGTATGTATAATTGACATTGTTTGCCAGGCTTTATGTTTGTGCCTAGGGGAACTGAAAGGCAGCACTTCGGAGGTGATGAAGAAAATGAGACTTTGCAGCTCTGATGTTCCAGCCGAGCTAGACCCAAGGTCGATCCCTGCAATCACCCTTTGTTTGATTTCATACCATGCACTCGGGGTTACACTCCTGAGATTTCAGCGCACTGTATAGATTGCTCTCTTTATTTTGAACATTTGCTGCCCCTGTACATTGTTTATCAAGCACATCCAGTGGGGACCACAAGAGAGATTACATCCAGTTAGGTTGAGTTGTCTGGACTGTAGGTGAGTATATTCCGATTAAGGTATTTAGTACACACACATTTTTTCTACCAATAAGTGCAACCACTTGCTTATCTCCTTAAGTATTTAAACCTCATATTGAATAACTAATTTAGCTCCTACCTTGTAAGAAAATATAGAGCCCAAATGCTGTAAAAAATAAAGCCCCATTTGATCGGGTTTATCACTGTCCCATGGAGACTTTTAAACCTTTAATGAACAATTGGCTTCCCTGGAACTATTATATTTTCACTATTTGTAGTTTTACGCAGCTCTTTGTGCTGCTTTCCCTTGCTGCTCCTCTGGGGACATACAATGTGTATGGCCATTGATATGCCCCTAAGAGAGGTCACAATTTGCATGAGAATTAGCAGCTAGTAAATTAAATTGATATTCAGTGCACATCCCCTTTCAATCCTTCAGACCTTTGTTCCCCTGCCTGGCAGAGCCCATGTTCAGCCCCTAGCTAGTCAGAAACATCTGTGCAGTTAATAATTTGATAAACAGCTTACACAAATTCTAAATTATCTTCTCCATCCCCTCCCCTTTTCTTCTTTCCCTTGTGCGACTTGGAACATTTGGTTCACTTCTCTGTGAATTTATCTGTCTTTGCTGGCTGTTCATCCACAGCTCTAGTTTTCATTGCTTGTTTGGGGTTAACGTAAAAGCTCAATCCTCACCTATAAAGAAAAAAAGCCGTAGGAGTTGCCTATTGAGGCGCGTTTAAAATGAACTTTAAATTTGCGTATCCATTCATCGTGCTGTGCTCTTATAAAAATGGTGAAGAAGAAAAGTGACATTTATCAACACGTTTCACAATGCTATTGTGCTTCCATTCAGTTGAAACCCCTTCATTCCTCAGACCTCAGATGACTTCATGTGGAATTGCAAATTAAGGTCTGGCGTATTTTCCTAAGCATTCTGCAAAAGCGTAAAGTTTTCATGTGTTAATTCAGTGGTCACTTGTTACTCTAACAGGCGGATAACAGTAATGAAACGGTTTTGACCAGACTTTTATGATTGTTTCAAAAGGATACTTAAAATATTCAGTGCAATTTATGTATTTATCGGCTCAGCAGCAACAACAAAAAAGGTCTAATTTTCTCTAAATATCTTAAAACATGTACATGTTCTTACATATAGTTTATTGTTTGTCTGTGTTTGTATGACTGAATTTTGTCTTTGACGGGACAGCAACTAATTAAATGACGTCAAGTTGATGGAAAAGTTAAACCAGTTTCCAGTGTTTCTCTTTTTGATTCCGTCTTAATAAGAAATTGAACAACGAGCGAGCATGTAAAGCTGAGTTGAGACACCTATTTTAAACAGTCCTATTTTTAAACTTTTTTTTTTCTTTTTCTGAAACCTATTTCTGAAAGTTTGAGCAAGGAGATCAGATTCACCCTTCCCGCTGCACTTGTTGGTTGTTTGAATAAACATCGTGGCTGTCTCGAGTGCTGAGAGCACAATGCTTCATTGTGGTTTGAACAAAGACTCCCAGGTTTAATAACAGTGGCTCATTGTTAGCAGAAGCTCGCCTTGTGATGCAGAGTGGATTCATTCACCGGTTTACTTATTTTATTTATTAATACATTTTTATTCCTTCCTTTTGGCATTAACATCGGCCCCCTTGTATTGTCCGGACACTTCAATCGCCAATTGTTCTGACATGGTAGTGGTCCTCAGTAGTGGTTAACAGAGACAGAAAAAAGACAATGATCTGTCATTTTGACTTGGTTTGTTTGGCCAGGAGCCTGCCTGACAGCTGATAGAAGAAATGGTGTGACAAGCAGCAGTAAATAGGCGTGCTGCTGGTGGTCAGATGATGAGACTGATGCGGGCTGTTTGCGGTGAGGGTCAGACGCTTGACAGTGAGAGTTTGTTGTTCTCTCCAGTTTGAGGGCCTTGTTGCTAACGCTGATCCTTGGCCTTGTTGAGATTGCACCCCTTCAACTCTGTATTTACAATGACAAATTCAAGGCTTGTGAAAATTCGTTTTGTAGCTTTGGCTTTTTTCTGGCTGCAACCTGCAGCCAAGTCACAAAATCACCCTATGTACCAACAATCCGAAATTTGGATATGCTCCTTTGGATTTCATTTACATGCTGTCGAGTTTTTAGAACTTTCGGCCAGAAATGAAAAGACAACTCCTCAACGAGCAGCTAAATCTCCACCAAAAAGTGACAATCCAGTGCTGGATGGACCATTTGACCCAGTCTTCCAGGAGAGGCACACAACACATCCGCAGTAAGGCATTAGGAAAATGCTTTATTTGTTTGTGTGAGGGTTATCCTCTCCTCTCAGTTCTATGGGTCACACTGAGTTGACATTACTATTGGAAGTCATTACACTTATGCAGGTTTGGTCTCCCAGGTCAAATTATCCTTCAATTTAAAATAAAATTGGGAATGGCAAGGGGCAAGGATCAGCTTGGCGCACACCTTCTCCACAGTATTAAGCCATCAGAGTGTTGTAAGGTGAGCTCCTGTAATGAACCCTGTCACCACCACCACTGCACCAATATCCCCACAACACCGCATGCATATTGATTGCAAATTGTCAGTGAGAGAACGTGTGTGTATAATGTATGTGTGCAAGCTCACGCAAGCTCACCTTTTTCGAGCAAGAAGCAAGGGAATCATCTTACTCTCTTGCTGATTAGAAAGCTCATGCATAGGAAATCAAGACAGAGACACTGCTCCCCATCTGCCCGCAGTGCAGGTGAAAACAATTTACACATCACCAGGCTAATGGATACATTCATAGGGAGCACTGACAGAGGGAAAGAGGGATTGAGCGGGAGAGGGAGAGAATAACCGAGAGTGAAAACGAGTCGGGTTGTAATGGGTCCAGGCCAAGGCAGGCCAGTGGACCCGCTCATGCGGCTGAGCCAGATAGCCGCCTATCAGATAACACATAATCACCAGGGTCAGGGACTAATGAATGCGGTCGTGGCCCTCCAGAGCAGGCTTTTGCCCGCACTAAAGACACTTGTAAACAATTCGACTAAGTGAAACAGGGCAATAATATGTTGATTCAGCAAGTAATGAGGTTCTCCCTGAATCAATACCCCCCAGCTAACCCCTGTCCCAGGTGGGCCAGTGAAGAGCATCCAGCAAGTTGGTGAACGCACACCTATGCTAGTGACCTTTCGGTGCCAGTAAGGACACAAGGCAGTCTGAAGAGGACCATTCTCCTATTGCACAAGGCGCTGAGTGTCAGAACTTTCATTCGCAGCAAGCAAATGAACAGGCAGGAGCTGCATGCTAATAAGCGGCAGGCTATTTTCCACCTTTTTTATCTGCGCATTATGCTCTTGACTTTGGAGAAGGTGGGAATTAGGTTGGACCTCAGTGTCAGGCTGCCTGATGGCTCCGCTCAGGAAAAACTGGTAATTGAAGCCGATGGCTGCCGCGGAGGAGGTCTGAATTTGGAAATAAACAGTTTCAAGCACTGCACGTCATTTCTAGAGAGATGACAGGGGGAATGGAAATGAGCTGTCTGGATCTAATGTGCTTTCGCAGCAGGGAAAAAGGGGGCCATCTTTCAGATAACAATTCCACTCATTAGGACATCAGTGCCACCATAATGACGAGAGACCAAGTTGCTAAATTCAGAGAGGACAATTAGGAGATGCTGGCACCGAGACAAGCCAAATATACAAAGACACATGTCTCCTCTACATATACTCTGGCTTGCTATTGGGAGATGTATTTGACAGCTTTCAAAGGGAAGATTGAATGGTTTCCTGCTCTGTAATTGTTGTCATAGTGGGAACTTTATTATTGTTTGTTTATTAGCATAATAAACATATTAATTTTTACTCTTCTTGGAATAGTAAGGCGTTCATAGCTGATTTTGTGTTTTTGAAAGGGGAAATGCTGGTTGTTTATGCAATGGAAATTGTAACTAGAACTGAATTTATGACTATAAAATAAATTATATGGTTTTAAACTGAAGCAATTTTACAAGTATAGTTGGCAAGCTAACATTGCTTAAGGTAATGTGACAGTGACCAAACTGC